AGGGATAGCATTATGAATGGAGCTTTGTGTCTCTTTTAGTTGTTGTTATTGTTGTTGTTGTTATTGATGTTATTGTTTTATTTTTGAGAGAGAGAGAGACATAGCCTGAGACAAAGGCAGATATAAGGAGAGAGAGAGAGAGAGAGAGAGAGAGAGAGAGAGAGAGAGAGAGAGAGAGAGAGAGAGAGAGAGAGAGAGAAGAGAGAGAGAGAGAGAGAGAGAGAATGTACACATAATCACACACACACACACAGGTAGTGAGATAGATAGGTAGGTAGAGAGAGAAACAGGCAGACAGACAGAAAGACAGAGACAGATACACAAACACAGTCACACACAAACAGACTGGTAGTGAGATAGAGAGCGAGAGAGAGAGAGACAGCAGGCAGACACACAGACAGACAGACAGACAGAGAAAGAGTAAAGAATTGCACCGACAGACACCACAGCCATCGATGTTAATTGCCCTCTCGAGTGTTAACTTGACTTTCTTCATGTGTACCTCCTTTCTTTCTGTTTTTCTTCGTCTATATATCCAGCTGTTTATGTCTATATGTATTCATTCTACATATTTAGTTGTTTATTTCTCTATGTATTCACATATGTATCTTATTATATCGATCCATCTATCCGTCTATATACCTGTCTGTCTCTCCATTTATTTATCTATCTATCACCCTATCTGTGTCTATCTATATATCTATCTATCATTATATATCTATGTCTATCTATCTATCTATCTATCATTCTATATGTATGTCTATCTATATATCTATCTATCATTCTATCTGTATGTGTATCTATATATCTATCTCTCATTCTATCTCTATGTCTATCTATATATCTATTTATCATTCTATCTGTATGTCTACCTATATATCTATCTTTCATTCTATCTGTATGTCTATCTATCTATCCATCTATCTGTCATTCTATCTCTATGTCTATCTATATATCTATCTATCATTCTATCTGTATATATATCTATATATCCATCTGTATGTATATCTATATATCTATCTATCATTCTATCTGTATATATCTACATATCTATCTGTATGTATATCTATATATCTATCTATCGTTCTATCTGCATGTCTATCTATATATCTATCTATCATTCTATCTGTATGTCTATCTATATATATATATATCTATCATTCTATTCACCTATCTATCCACCTGGACATTGATTCATTGGCCTATTTATGTAACTAATAACTCAACTTTCTACCTATCCATCTCGCTATCAACCTATCCACTTATCAATTTAACAATCCGTCTCTTAGTCTATCTATCCATCCTTTATCTATCCCTCGACTGACCTATTTGGCTCTAATTCTATCCCATTCTCTCTAATTCTATCCCATCGCATATCTCTGATTTCTTATGCCCTATTTTCCTTGCTATAAATAGAATCATTACACGCGCCTTAGCCACCGTCTGGGTTTTCTTGTCTCTTGTCTATTTGTGTCTGGCAGTGCGTCTGGCCGTCCAGCTGTCTTTCTGTCTGTCTGTCTATTCATATGTCTGTTTGTCTACCTGTTTGTTTGTTTTTTCTGTTTGTCTGTCTGTTTATTCATATATCTGTCTGTTGTCTGTTTGTCTACCTGTTTGTTTGTTTTTGTTTGTCTGTTTGTTCATATATCTAACTGTTGTCTGCCTATTTACCTGTTTGTTTGTTTGTCTGCCTGTCTCTTTGTCTGTCTGTCTTTGGATTTGTATGTCTAGAAGTCTGTCTTTCCATATATTTATCAATTCATCAAACAATCTATTTATTCAGCTATGTATGTATGTATATATATATGTATATATATATATTATATATATATATATATATATATATATATATATATATATATATATATATATATATATTATAATATATATATATATATATATATATATATATATATATATCAGTTAGTCCATAGATATATATATTTATCTACCCATTCATCTATTGATGTATCTATCTATCCATATGCTCATCTATCCGCCAATACAATTTAAGAGAATCTATGTCGACGGGTAATTAGTTAAATAATGTGTGACTTCGTTAACTTGCTCTAGTTTCTGGGTCTCTGACTGATCTTACAGTCATTCTTATATTTTCTTTCGGATTTGGGTGAAGAAAGTGTGATTAAAGGATTAAATATTTTTTGGCGCCATTTTGAGGGCAGCTTGCTTTTATATCTCTTTTTTTTATTTCCTAGTTGTTTTTCTTCCTCTCTTTTAATGTCGTTATCATCTTCTCGACTCGTTTTTTTTAGGATTTGTTCTTTTCTCTTTTCATTTCATCTCTTTTCTTTATTGTTAACTTTTTATAAAAGCCTCCCAATATTTTGGTTCTTTTTTCACTCAACTCCCATTTTCTGTATTAGCAATTTTTATTCAATTATCTTATTTCATCCCAGTCCTGACTTTCTAATCTGCTGAGAAAACAACACTTTATTAGAAAACTTTATAAACTGTTAACTCGTATTTTCTTGAACTTTAA